GCCCATAATCTCAGCACTTTGGGAGGCCCAGGTAGGCAGGTCGCCTGAGGTCAGAAGTTTGAGACCAGCCTGACCACCGTGGTGAAACCCCGTTTCTATTAAAAAAATATATATATACAAAAATTAGCCAGGTGTGGTGGTGCATGCCTGTAATCCTAGCTACCTGGGAGGCTGAGGCAGGAGGATTGCTTGAAACCAAGAGGTTTCCGTGAGCCGAGATTGCACCACTGCACTCCAGCTTGGGAAACAGAGGGAGACTTTTGTCTCAAAAACAAACAAACAAACAAACAAACAAAACACCATAAAATTAGCTAGGTGTGGTGCTGCGTGTCTGTAATCCAAGCTACTTGGGAGGCAGAGGTTGTAGTGAGCCGAGATCATGCCACTGCACTCAAGCCTGGGTGACAAAGCAAGGCTCCATCTCAAAACAAAAACAAACAAAAGCAATAATTGTCCCTTATGCTAACTCTCCTGTTTGATTTGTATTTCCAACGTGAACAGAAAGGCTTTTGGAAGGCGTAGGCTGGGGCTGGCCTGGGAACCCCTTACTCCCCATCCCCCACCCTGACCAACAGCCTGGAGTCCAGCTTGGCTGGGCAGCGGAAGATCACGGGCACTGAGGGGTGAGTGGGTGAGTGTTTGTGGCTGGAGGCCCTGGGGGTGTTCCTGCTCCCGCCCAGGCGTGTGTTGGGTGGCGGGGGAGGCTGCTGCCCTCTGTATCTGGTGGCAGCTGTGGGGCGTGCTATGACTCTCCAGGCTGGGGTTTTGTTAGGGGAGGCCTTGGCCGTGGCTGAGCCAGGCGGTGCTGTTTGCTTTAGGGTCACACGGTGGATTGAGGTTGGGGGCAGGTTTATGGGGTGTGTCGGGGGCGGGGAGAGTTTCACGTATCTGGGAGCCTGGCACACCAGCCGTCCCCATAAATTCGTGGCCTGTGGAGGGCTGTCCCGGGAGTGCTGGTGGGGGCGTGGGATGGCTGTGCAGCCCCCGAGTGGGACAGCACCCGTTGGTTCTGCCTGCTTTCCCAGAGGGCTGAGTGTGGGTAGCGTCCGGGGTGTGGGGTGTGTGCCCTCCGAGGCAGCCAGCTGTCTCCCTCACCTTGCTCCGCCCACATTCCAGAGGGGTTGGGGGTGCCCTCCCCGGCTCCCGCCCACTCCCCGACCTCCGACCTCCGCCCGAGCCCACTCCCTCTGCTCCGGCACCCGAGGAGGCAGCTGGCTCCAGGGAGGGGCTGCAAGGCGGGGGAGGAGGCTGGAATGTGCCCTGGGGAGTGAGGGGGCCCCCAGAGAGGGGGCGGAAGCAAGGGAGGGAGGGGGGCGGAGGAGAGGGTGGTGCTGGGTTGGAGAGACCGCCGGGGACCGCCAGAGATCGACAGAAATAGACAAAGGCAAAAGAAAGAGCAACGGAGGGAGTGAGAACCAGGCAGAGGGAGGAGGCCAGGGCAGGAGGGCCCTCAGAGGCAGGGCCCAGGTGAGAGCCTCCCCTCCCCCACCCTGCGGGCTGGGCAGCTCACCTGTTCCAAGTGACCCCAAAGGCAGCCAGTTCTCTGCCCTCCGAGGGCTAGGCGGCCCGTGGGTGGGGCAGCACCCGGCTCCTGGGTTGGGCCCCAACGCCCTTGGCCACGGGGTGGTGGCGTCCCCAGCCTCCAGCCGGGTAACTCCCATTCCCATGGTGCTGGGAGAGGAGGGTGGGTGGGGCCCGGCCCTGTGGGGGCGGCTGTGCCCGGGCGCCGGCTCAATCCCTCCAACCCAGTGGCTCCAGGCCAGGGGGTGCTGGCTGCCTGGCTTCCACTGCTGCCCACCCTAGCCACCTGCCAGGCCAGCTCCAAGGGTCCATTTGGCCACCCGCAGAGGACTCCAGCCTCAAGCCAAAGCCATGACCTCCAGTGACCTTCTCCTGCCCGCCCACAGCTGCCGCGTCTCCCCAAGCACTGCCCACCTGTGAGGTCACCGTCTGGCAGGGGCGCCAGCACGGGCTCCCAGCCACGGGGCAGCCCCCACCCTGCGAACTCCAGAGGCCAGGCTGCACCAAAGGCCTTGGCTACAGCCTCCACACCTGGCACAGGCGCTGTGCAGCCAACCACTGCCCACAACCAAGCAGCGGGCGGCCACGGGGGACTCCTGCCTCCTGGGTCCTCAGCTCTCTTGGTCTAGCGCTCACACACGCATCTCAGATTTCCGCCCCAAAACTTCCATCCCCCCTGCTACCCCCTAAAACCACCACCTTCCGGGCACGGCCGCGACAGACTCCAGGACTGCACACCGTAGTTCCTTTTCCGTCTCTACCTCGCCAGGGTGAGGCCACCAGGGTCCCCACCGATCGATCCCCACTCGACACCCCTCCAAAGTCCAGGCCACGGGTCTAGCCACCTCCCAGACGTCCTGGCCGCGCTCCCCCTCACCTGCTCCTCCTCCCTGGTCCCCCAAGTCATCCCTCCAGTGGCCGACTTGGAGAATCACCCTTTATGATCCCTGCCAGCCTCGCCTTTCCTGCCGTCTCTGAATTTTCTCCGGCTGCCCCCCAAACGCACTCGGTTTCACGTGTCCGGGCCTTTGCACACGCCCTGCCCCGTACCTGGCGCACCCTTCCCGCTTCCTACAACACTTGGCAAACTCCTGCTCCTCTGGCAAAGCCTCAGCCCCAAAGTCCCCCTCCTCCTGGCTCCTGTCTGAGATGCCCCAGCCTAGGGACCGCGGGGAGGCTGGGCCGGGGTCTGGGACGTGAAGTGGTGCAGGGGTGGAGGCAGCAGGAAACGCGTTGGCGTGAAAGGACGGGTGCACGTGAGCGTGCCGGGGGTCCACGTGCGGCGCCCCGGGGCTCGCCCCCTCTTCCGTCCAGGCCCCGCCGCCGCCGTCAGACCCTCGGCTGCACCTCCCGCCCCCAAGCTTGCAGACTTGCCGGGAGAGGGGCGGGGCCGCAGCGCCTCCGCGCTTGCGCCTGCGCACTCGGCCCAGCCGGGCTGAAGTCCCGCCTCCTGGAGGCTGCCTCCGCTGCTACTGGGGCACGCAGATGAGCGAGCGGTGAGGTCACCAATGAGGCGTCCCCGTGGGTGGGCGGGGCCTGAGCCGCCCGACGCGCGGACGGGGGCGGGCGGGGCGCCCTACCCGGGGTGACGTCAGGCTCCTTTCGCGGCGCGTTGCCCTGGAAACCGCGTTTCCATCCCGGCGGGTTTCCGGGGGCCGCCCCCTCCCATTCAGCTTTTTCCTCAATGGTGGGGGGGAAGGGAGCGATCCAGAGCGGACCCCGCCTCCCGCGATCACAGCGGGCCCCGCCCTCTTTGTGCCTCAGTTTACCTCTCCGTGCCTTCCTACGCACACGTGGCCTCCGCCTGCCGCCGGTCTGTCCGCTGCACCCCTGGATGGGCTTAGCCCACCAGACCAGGGCTCTGAACCTGGAGCTCCACACCCCACCCCACGCCCCCAGGGCACAGCCTTGACCCCCGGGATCCCCAGGCTGGGGTGGAGGGGTCCTGGAGTGCAGGGGACGCGCCCCCCGCCCTGCAGGCCGTAGACACAGCCCCTGTGATTCAGCAGGTGCTGCAGACAACATCCTTCTTCCTCCTCTCCACCCGCCTAGTGAGGGGGCGGCGGCGCCCTGGGGCCCTCGCCCTGACCTCAGGCCGGGCGCCGGTGACCCGCACCCCCATCCTGAGCCCCTAGGGGACGTCCGCGCCAGAGACGGGGGCCGCCTGACTGGGCATCCGCCTTCCTGACGTGGGCGTGGGATGATTTGGGGTTGACTGGGCGTTGGGAGGGGCAGAGGGTTCTCAGAAAGATGCTCCCAGGGCCACTCCCGGGACCTGTGCCCTCTGCCAGTGCTGGGGCCCCTAGAGATGGGATAAGGGGTGGAGGTCACATCACTGAACAAACACCGCAAATCCTCTGAACCAAGTGATGTTTCTTTTTGGGCCTCTGTTATCCCATCTATAAAATGGGAACTCAATTACTTCTAACGCAAAGCAACTCTTGTTACCTGAGGAAATACAGGTTTATTTTTTGTTTTTTGTTTCTGTTTTTTAAAGACATGAGGCCGGCGAGGTGGCTCACACTTGCAATCCCAGCACTTTGGGAGGCCGAGGTGAGCGGATCATATTATTGCCCATCTTTACCCAGGCCAGACATGGATGGATTGGGACTCCAGAGAGGGCTCAGTCCTGGACGGGGCCTTTGGGGAGCTCCAGGCTGGGAGCAGAGAGAGGAGAGGGTGGGGTCTGTGGGACTGGGTGGGCTGGGGTGGGAGGTGCAGGCTGGGGAAGTTCCCAGACAGGGCAAGGGACAGCCAGGCCAGGGGTGTTTCTACACAGGGGCAGAGGCCGGGAGGTCTGGAGCCGAGCCTTGGAAGGGCTGGAATGTCAGGAGGTGTGGCCAGAGAGAACCCATCCTCTCCCCGCCCAGAGCTGAGTTAAGCCAGGCCTCTATCACCAGCCAGCCCAAGGTACCCTAAAGATTCTCAGGTCCTCCCAGTCAGCCTGGTGATCTCCCTGCAGCAGGCCACACAGAGATGAGGCTCCAGGAAGAACAGCGGGTGGGGCTGTCACAGTGGGTGGGGCTGGCACACCCCCACTTCTGTGTCTGGAGAGAACTGGGCAGATCTCCCCCCTTACTGGCAGGTCCTGAGAGGGGGCCAGGGTCCTCCCCAGGCCACGCAACAGGCAGGCAGGCCCTTGCCCCACACCCTAAGGGACTTCCGGCCCTGGGTACCAGGAAGTGGCTGGGCTCCTCCCTCCCACACCCCGGCGGCTTCCTGCCCACCCCGCAGCTGGGGAGGGAGCGTGGGAACTTCTCAGGGTGCTGACCCCTGACCCACCCCCTCCGCTGGCCCCTGGGATCCAGGTCAGTCTCTGACTGGGACATCCCACCCCAGGAACCCCCCCCCAACCACGGCCAAATCCCACCAGGTTAGCAGGCCTGACGCTGACTTGTGTTTCATTTTCTGTTTATTACTTGAAATCACGGTGCTTGTGTAGGTTTTTCTTCTTTTTCAATTTTGTTTTCATACATGAAACTCACGCCAGGTGCCGGGACCCCCACAGCCCGACCCCCCAAGGGTGGGTAATGCTTTCTTGGGCAGCCCTTACCGGGCAGAGGGTGGCAAGCCGGTTACTGCCTGGAGGCTCCACCCTCAACCCACGGAGGCACAGACGTTATTTAAAAATCGTTAAAAAACAAAACAGAACACACATTTAAATAGGTATCCAAGACAGTTCTTCAAAAAACAAACCCGCCCCTTTTTCTCCTTTTTTTTTTTTCTATTTTTTTCTTCTTTTTTTTTGGAAAAACGAAAACAAAACAAAACCCAAAATCCTTGAGCTTCACCCTCTGGGACCCCTCCCTGCCCACCCTCCCACAAAAAATTTACAGAGCTACAGTTATAACACGTGATGTTCACATCTGAAACCATTAACTTTCAACACATAAAGAGGGGGGAGTGGAGGACCCGGGGTTCACCTACGAGAACAAAGGGGGGGACAGGCAGGGCCAGGACAAGACCGACAGGCAGGGTGGGGAGGGCCCAGACATCTCCTTTATCATTAAAAAAAAATGAGTGGGGGAAAAATCCAAAAACTACCCCATTGAAATGGCCCCAGTAGGAGATTTGTCCCTCCCCTCTGGGGCCAGACACCCCTAGGGCACGGGCACTGAGGGGTGGGGGGGTCCAAATTAGACCAGCAGCGGACCCCGCCACAGGGGTTAATGCTACACGGAGTTGGCGCCCTCTACCCAGGGGATTCACAGCTCAGCACCCCCCTCCCATCCTGGCTGCAGGAGAGGCCCCCAGACAGTCCCAAATCCCACGTCCCTCAGGTTGGGCTGGGAAGGAGGGCTGGGGGGGGTGGGCATCTCCCCACACCCAGCCATGCTCTCCCCATTTTTCAAGAGTTCCCCAACCACTATTGGCTCAGTCAGAAAATTAATAGTCTATAAATACCCCAAGCTCAGGCAGGAGGTCCGAAAACACTGGGGTGGGGGTGGAGGAAACAGCACAGTCCTGGCTGGGGGTGGGGGGTGGGCAGTTCCCCTCTCCCTTCCTGGCAGGAAAGGCTGCCACACCCCTAGGTAGACCCCAGCCCCAGGCCCTCTGCTAAAACGGCTTTGCTCTCCTTTTTAAAGAAATGAACGAAAATGCAAAAAGACACCAAGAAAAGAGAACAGGAGTGGAAGAGAAAACAGTCCCCTCGTAGGCTGCTGTGACCTGTTGGCTTGCTGTAACCCAGTGGGTCCTGCTGGCCTGGGGTGGAGGCCCTGAAGTCTGCACTGGGGGCGAGATGGGTTCTGCACACTGCGGCCCCTCCCCTCATCTGTAAAGTGCATAATGACACGTCGACTTTTTGACTTAAAACCTGAATAGGGTTCGGGGGGAAGGAGGCGGCGGAAGGGATGGGGTGGGTTTCTGAGTCTCCTCCGCTCTCCGCCATCCAAAAAGACTGCTACATATTGGAGCTGGGGGAGGTTGGCAGGGAGGACCGACCGGCGCAGAGGTGAAAGAGACAGAGGAGGAGGAGGAGGAGGAGGAGGAGGGGGAGGAGCAAGGGTGGAGGGTGAAGGAGGTAGGAAGCAAAACCCATCAAGAGTCCAGGAAACCACGGTCAGAACTTTTTAAAAAAAGAAAAAGGATGAAAAGAAAGAAAAGCTTCTGGCTAGGGGGGAGTGGCCGCCTGCCCTCCAGAGCTGGGCCGCGCTCTCTGTGGGGCTCTCGGAGTGCCCGCCGCCCTGGGCTGGGGTGCGAGGGGCGAGGGTGGCCGATCCTAAGCCACCACGAACTCTGACTTGATGTCAGGGTTGACTTCCGGCTTCCACACGGAGTCCTCGAAGTCGAGGCCCAAGCCGGAGGCCTCGCTGGGGCTGCCGCTGCCCCCGCTGCTGCTGCTGTCGCTGCGGCCGGCCTTCCGGCTGGGTGACCAGTGGTACGGGCCCCGCGCGTCTCGCCGGGCCTTTCTGCGGAGCCGTTTCTGCTGCAGAAGCAGCTGCAGCCGCTCCACCTTGCAGCGCGTGGCGCGGTTTTCTGTCTGCCGAAGCCGGTCCCCTGCGAAGGAGACAGTGGCCTGTGACTCCCAGAGCTTCCACCTCCTGTCCCTGAACACAGAGGACCACCCCAGACCCCAGCAAAGGAAATGGTCAAGGGCGTCCACCATGCTGGGGGTGGTGGTGCCTCATGTCTGTAACGCCAGCACTTTGGGAGGCTGAGGCAGGAGGATCGCTTAAGCCCAGGAGTTTGAGACAGGCCTAGGCAACACACCAAGCCCCTCCTCTGCAAAAATCACAAATTAGCCAGGCATGGTGGTGTTGGCCTGTAATCCCAGCTGTGCAGCTGGCATCTAACTCTCCAGCTGAACCATGAGCGGAAGGTCAGGACTGCCCTGCCTCATCCTTCCTGAGACCTTCTGCCACTTCTGTGATCCCAGGGGAGACACTTGGGGGTTGTTCCTTGGTTTCCCACTTTTAAACTGAGCTTGGGAGGAGCCCCTGCCATGGCTGGGGAGCCTGAGGGGCTGACAGTAGCCATGTTCCCATGAGACTCTGCAGCAGGAATAACCCAGCAGTTCGGGAGTGCGTGGCGGGGGCAGGGGGTGGCGGTGGTTTTTTTGTTTTTTCAAGTCACTGAAATGCCTAGGGGTGGGCTTTGGCCCTGCCTTGGCCTGCCAGACCTGACTTGGCCATTCAGAGAGGCTCCAAATGCCATCTGGAGATGGCGCCCCGGGGGGGCCAGGAGGAAGTGGGGCTGGGGCCCCCCGGGAGCACACAAGGACACTTTGTGCCCCAACACACACACTGCCTTCTCTCCCAGCTAAAGCAGAGCAGTGGCCACAGCAGCTGCTGTCCCCCCCGGCCCCTGGGCAGGTCAGCTGCTCCTGTGCCCACCGGCTCACACAGAGGGGCCTTCAGAAGCCCCTGTGGGTGGGGAAGGCGCGACCCCCGAGGGTGGAGGGTGGCCACTCACCCGGGGGCTTGCACATGCGGATTTGGCTCTGGCCTTGCAGGAGGGAGGCTGGGGGAGTGGCCGAGAGCTTCTCGCAGGAGGTAGTTCTGGGGGCCAGGTCGGGGGCTGTTGAGGCGGGGGAGCACTGGGCGTGGCAGCGGAGCTGGGCCAGCGACGGGGGCATCCCCTGGTAGTGCCGGGTGGCGCTCAGGAGGTCGTTCAGGATCTGCAGGATGGTGCCGATGTCACGCCGCGGCCGTCCGCTGCTGTCTTGGCAGTTGGGGTGTAGCGTGCCTGTGGGCAAAGACGGCCATGAGCAACGGGGACATCCACGGTCACGCATGTCCAGGACAGGCGTCCACAGGTCTGAGCTCATGAGCTCGGACAGCGGAGTGGGCAGGTGGGCTGACATGCACGAGGGACCATGGGGCGGGAATGGGACACATCCCCGGGACGTGGACGCCTGGTGACCCTTGGCCTCCCGTGCAGGGCCATGCATGTGTGGGGGGATGCCGGGAGGACGCGTGAAGCAAACACAGATGGCCGTGTCTGCCCAGGATGCGTGGAGTCGTCTGTGGAGGGATGTGAGCCCTGAGACGCAGTGTCGCGGGACTCACGGGAGGTCACACGTGTGCTGTGACACCTACCAGAGAAGGTCCCTGAGAAGACCCCCGGGGCGTGATTCACAAAGCTCTCGATGACGGCGCCGGGCTTTCGGGAGCGGGGGGTAGGGCTGGCCCCTGGGGAAGACGTGGTGCTGGCACCAGGACTGGGGCTGCCGGTGGCCATAGTAGAACAGTCCATCTGCTAACAGGAGGGAGGGGCGGGTGAGCATGGCCTACAGGCTCAGGATCACCACCCACCCAGGGTCCAGAGACAGCCCTCCAGCCCAGGTCAGGAGATGACACATCAGTGCAGGGTCTACAGATAAGCTTGTCCAGGGTCAGGACACAACCAACCCAGAGGACAGAATCAACCCATGAGTCAAAGGTCAGGAGATGCCCCACCGGCCCGGGTCAGGTCAGCAGATGACCCACCAACTCAGGGTCTAGAGACGGATCACCCACCAGCCTGAAGTCACAGGCTAGTCCTTCCTACAAGGGACTCACCTGGAGCTAAGAGCCCTTGTTCTCCCCGAGCCTTTCCCAGGATGGCCCACC